AGCATGTTCTCATATAGATACAATGATCTCAAATTATCCGCCATTTTCTTCAGTGTACACATCTCCAATCCGTACTGTGATTTTCATCGACTCCTTTCTCTCTCGGATCGCCTATTATTCCTATATATTTCTTCCTCTTCTGTTGTATAGAATTTCATTTGTGATGGCAATTATGTTATTTACATATGTAGAACCCTTTCCTTAAAACCGTGGTTATGCTGCTAGTTTTGTGAGTACCATGAATCTGACATTATACCAAAATTGGGCTATCGACTGGTATTTAATAAATACCAGATTGTATTATAATTAGTACTGTCGCCGGAAAAGGAAAATTCTTTAATAGTGGACGCAAAGTTTCCTTCAGACGACCGCTTATGAACTGAACTAGGATCTGCCTTCCCTCAGTATTTACTGGAATTTGTCCCAGGAACCACAATCTCCGCGTAGCTTTTGTTTATAACCTATGCACACACATACACACGCATTTTATTTATTTATTTAATAATACTAATATTATATATATATTTTAAGACATTATGTTTATACATTCTTTTTATAGATACAAATATTTAAGTAAATGTTCTGTTTATAATAAACAGTATTAAACAACATTTACCGGCCTGAATGTCTGAGAAATTTTTTTACAGAAAATATTCTTCCTCCGGTTGTTTAATACTGTTTATTATCTTAAAATATTTGTCGGACTTTGTCCATTTCATTTTATATATATATATATATATATATATATATATATATATCTCCAAGTATATAATTGGTATATACGGAATGAATTCCAATAATCAACAATTGCTATTCTTAAAAGTGTGCTCAATACAAAGTAGAGCAGATATAATTATTTTTTTAAATAATGGATAGTGGCTCAGATTGAAGAAACGGAGACCCGAGTTCGAATTCCAGTCGAATCCATTATATTCACTTACGTGCTAAAACCCTTGGGAAAAGTATGAATCCTCTTCACTATCCCTCCCAGCTATGGGTAAAATAACAGGACAGACCGGGTTCTATAGCCATGGATGGCGACTGGTTTACCGCAGAAACAATTGGCAGCCTGCTACAATCAATCACGCATTATAACGGATGATATATACTTATCCATTTTATATTGTGTAATTGTAATAAATGTTTCATGTAAAAAAAAAAAATTTTAACTAATTTTTTTTTTCCCAATTTTCGATAACGTTTTATGATAATTGTCCATTTGCATTTTAACAGATATATTTACATCTTTACATTTTTTTCTTATGCCTTAATTTAAAGGTTCAATAAAAGATTTTCCTCGCCGAGAACTACTTTTAATCACTCCTGCGAAGCCGCCTTTAATTTTCGATCTGAGGAAGCCGTTGTATAAAAATCCCGATCTGATTAACCTATTTAACAAAAAATGACTCCAGTTTTACGCCAAGAAAATTTTAAATAAATATTTCTTATTACTTTAAACGGCATATTTTAGTGAATGCACGTGTTTAAGTAGCTGATCTGTTTCTTTTCTCAAACATTGTGAAATACATCTACCGGTCTGTGCTTTTGAGAGTCTTAATATAGAGGATTTGTCCTCCGGCTCGATTCAAACCTGCATCTTTCAGGAAAAAAAAAGCCGTCTGACCAGGCGTCTCGACCCCAGAGAACTTTACAGCCCATTATATATATATATATATATATATATATATATATATATATAATAGTCCAAAACTAAGGGACAAAATTTTAAAACCTAATATTTGTTAGAAATAACAACTGTGAAAAGCTGAAATTTTGACAACTGGTAGTCGTTATCATCCATAATAATTATTATAACAATTATTTATTTTTGCAATAGATATCGTCCAAAAGTAACAATTTATTTTCTTATTTTTGGACGTTCCAATTTTGAAAAAAAATAAATAATTGTTATAATTCCTTTTCTATCCTTTGCAAATGATTCAAATTTTAGTATGTTATTATGGATGATAACGACTACCAGTTGTTAAAATTTCAGCTTTTCACAGTTGTTATTTCTAACAAATATTAGGTTTTAAAATTTTGTCCCTTTTTTGGACGCTTTGTGTATATATATAAATTTATATATATTACTATATATATATATATATGTGTGTGTTGATTTTTGACAGATTTTATAAAGTGGGTTTATACAGAGACTTAAAGAACCCCTATCTATATATATATATATATATTTGTCCCTACGCAATTGATTACATCCGGTAGTTGCTTTAATTTATGATGTAATGTAACGAAACTACAATCGTTGTTGTCATTTAAGTTTATATCATTGCATGGCAAACAAAAAAACGTTGAAAAAAGACTTTTAAAAGAAACTTTTTTCCTAACTTTCCCAGTATATATTTATAAGTGTATTTTAAATTAAATTTTTATAAGTGTATAAAAGTTTGTGTGCGTATTATATATATATATATTTATAAATATTTTTAAATATATCAATAAAGTAAAAAGTTTCAAAAATGTTTCAGGAATGTAGTATCAAATTAAACTATCCCGAACTGTACTACAAGGTGTCACATTGACACAGTACGGGAAGAGTTATACCATTTCATTTTCCGTTATAATAAAAATAGTTAATACTGTACATACTTGAAAATATCATTTTTATTATATATATATATATATTTATATATATATATATTATATATATTTGGCAATTCGATTCCACGTATAGGTTAAAAGATGCCTTCCTTTCAAACCGAAAATTTTTACAATAGGAAAAATTTAAATTTGATTATAGTGATTTGATTTTCGTGTTTAATTGATTTAATCGTTTTATATATATATATAAAGATATATATATATATATATATTTATATATATAAAGGGATGTATTATTTACAGGGAATAATTTTTTGGTGAAAATTTGCACTATACAGGGGAAGTTTTTTTTTCCATTTATAATTCATCAAAAAATAAAAGAAATAAAAGAAAATTCAAGTTCGTACGATACATGAAGTCTAATTTTATATGAGTATATAAAGGTAGAGATATGTTTTTTAAATAACATCTTCACTCTTATGACAATCTCTCCATATTTTGTGTGTACACGCAAACAGATCAATATTTGTCGTATTGATAGGTGGACATTTTATACACAGGTTTCATTGAATGTGATGGACTAAATATAAACTTCAATAGGGCATACCTAGCCTCCTCTTCTAAAAAAAAAATATTTCAGCAAACTCAAACAAAACAAATTAAGCAAATAAGATTATTTTTATCAAAAATGAAACGATCCCAATACTAATAGTGCATAACATATCTTTATTAATCCAACCATATGCACAAACATTATATTAATTTGCATGCGAATCATTAAAAAAATATAAAAAATTTTAATTTCACTCTCGACCCTTAAAAAAAAATATATATTCTTTTCAATACACTTCAGAAAATTCAATACTACCAACCACATAATTACCTATAACACGGCGCCTATCAAATCCAGACCCATGTTGTTGTTCATTTTGCGCTGTACTAGACTGCGATTCTGGTGACAAATAAAAAGACAATCCAAACACTTACATTGATCAGACGACGAAGTCATTAACTTGTAGATTAACAAACCACTAAAGTGGCTTTAATTCGATAAGGAAAGGGAAAAAAAAAAAAAAAAAAAAAAAAAAAAAAAAAAACACCTTGTTCCCATAAAATTATCTGTAGACAACATTTATCCTAAGAACATTTAATTGTAATAGACGTTTAAAAATAATAGAAGCATTTTATATAAAGCTTAACCTGTCAGGTCTCAATTGAACTTCTTTAAAACTGAACGGAAGATATTGGCAGTGTTTTAAAGCCAACCAGCATGGAATTATTAATATTCCGATCCAGCACGGTTTAGAATAACTACTATTTTCATAAATTTATAAAAATTAGAACTTTTTTATATAGATAATATACTAGCAAACTCGTTGAAGACTGATAATGAATTGGTAGAAAGCGATTGACAGTTTCTACCCCTACTTCGTCTCCGTGAAAGAATAAATGTAAGAACGAACATTTTCCTTGCTTCAGTTAAACATATATAAAAGAAAGGCTGCTGCATGCACGCAGAAAGAATATGTTATATACATATATATATATATATAATGTGTGTGTATTTGCTTATGCCTATCACTAATAAATATACGTCCATGTATGTGCATATCCAGCTATCTAAATATAAATGGGTTTTTGTCTGTGTATTTATGAATATAAGAACGGAATATCAATAGGTTAATAGGTTCAAAGTAAAAAATGAAATTATTTTAACCAAATGTTCATTTTTTTTCTATTGATCACATCGAGCAAGCATTATACAGTGAACATTTCAGATTGAAATTCAGCTAATTAGTCCATGGATGGCTACAGATTTATTGATCCACTCTCAAATGTTAGTATTATGTAAGTGCATGCGGCCGATATATTTAAAATGACTTAACAGAGAAATCCTACAATTGATTGTTACTGGGTTCGATATTCACAGAGTGTCCCTCTAT